TTCCACCCTGGCAAAACAGCAACAAATAGCTGCTCGTCACACTGCAGATGCTGCCTCCAACGCTATGGCTACTGCAGTCACGCTTAGACGGCATGGCTGGCTTCATTCAGTGGGCATCACAGATGACACCAGATCTCGTATAGAAGACCCTTTGATGGAGTGGGTCTCTTCAACAAAAAGACTGATGAGGTAATGGACAACCTCCACAAAATCAGGAAAACAGCCAGATCCTATTCTACCCAGCATCCCCATCGATATCAACGCCCTCAATGGCGTCGACTCTCCTTCTTCCAGTAAGCATATCAACAATAACAGTACTGTCCATACAAAACTGAACTCTCAGAAAGACCTTTTTCCGTACCTTCCAAACAATAACAGTACTGTCCATACAAAACTGAACTCTCAGAAAGACCTTTTTCAGTACCTTCCACATCCTCCACCTTTCGCCCTCAGGCTCAGCGTTGTCAGCCCTTTCATCGTCCTCAGAAAAAGGGCAAACAATATCTTTGACTCTCTTCAGCCTGGGGTCAGCCTTCATCTTTCCTTCCAAACCCATCTTCACCCTTTCTTCCGCTCTTGGTGTCACATCACAAACAACCATTGGGTACTTTCTATCATTTTTCATGGCTATCTACTCGAATTCGAACTTCCACTCAGCAGTCATGTCAAACACACTCCATACTCACCGGCTCTTCAAGATGAAAATTTCCTCCTCTTCCTGCAGAAGCAAGCTATTCTCAGAGTTCCAAACCACGATCTTCACTCCCGTTATTTTACAGTTCCAAAGCGAGATGGAGGTCTCCATCCCACCCTCAATTTCAGACGCCTCAACAAATAGATCCAGCCCAGACGCTTCAGGATGGTTACACTTGATACCATCATCTCTCTGCCTTCTCAGGGAGACTGGTTTGTTGTGATCAACCTCCAGGATGCATACTTTCACATTTCTATCCATCCACACCACCACAGGTACCTCCACTTCTGCTTCAAAGGCACCACCTACCAGTTTTGTTCTTTTCCGTTCAGCCTTTCCACTGCTCCACGAATCTTTACGAAGTGCCTTGCACCAGTCGCTGCACATCTTTGCCTACATGGCATAACCATTTCCCCCTATATCGATGATTGGCTAATCGTATCAAACCCGTACCAAGGCACCTTAAAGAAACACTCGTTTCACTCTCTCCATGCCAGCGGACCTTGGGCTCAAGGTCCATTTCACCAAATCTCAACTACAGCCCTCTCAAACCGCGGACTATATAGGGACCCACCTTGACTCATCTTGGACCAGGGCCTTTCTGTCCCAGGAGTGAATAACCAAACTAAAATCTGCAATAAGGCTTTTTCGTCTTCTCACTCCAGTCTCAGCACATCGAGCTCAGCATCTTCTCGGCCTCATGCCTTCGACTACATCAGTTATCCATCATTCCAGGCTCAAAATGGGATCCCTTCAAGCCTGTTACCTTTCCCTTTTCGACCCAATTATCGACACACACTTTCACCAAATCTCAACTACAGCCCTCTCAAACCGCGGACTATATAGGGACCCACCTTGACTCATCTTGGACCAGGGCCTTTCTGTCCCAGGAGTGAATAACCAAACTAAAATCTGCAATAAGGCTTTTTCATCTTCTCACTCCAGTCTCAGCACATCGAGCTCAGCATCTTCTCGGCCTCGTGGCTTCGACTACATCAGTTATCCAACATTCCAGGCTCAAAATGGGATCTCTTCAAGCCTGTTACCTTTCCCTTTTTGACCCAATTATTGACACACACCCCTGCAAACTGTTGACAGTTTCCAGAGAATTGGCTCAACAACTTACCCGGTAGACCTTCCTCCCACATCTCACAGTCGGCTGTACATTCGCTTCTCTCCAGTTCACGATTCAGGTCACCACCAATGTCAGTCCCACGGGATGGGGCACTCATTGTGAAGGCCACAGAATCCATGCCCTGTGGGGGGAAAAAAGAGAACAAACCTTCCATATCAACCATCTCGAGCTGCTTGCCATCATCAAGGCCTTTTGTGCCTTCCATCCTCTCATTGTCGGTCAGGCCGTTCAGTTGGCCACGGACAATATGACCACACAATGCTATATAAACAAGTAGAGAGGCACTCCCTCTCTCTTCTGTACCTGACAATCCACCTCTGGGAATGGTGTTACACCCACCACGTTTTTCCTGTTGTGGTCCACGTTGGCACTCACAACAACTTCATAGCGGACTATCTCAGCCACCACACTTTTTGAATCCGCGAATGGGTCTTGGACGACACCATTTTTGCCCAGATCTCCCAATGTTGGGATGTTCCTACTCTCTATGTTTTTGCCACACAAGAGAACACCAAATTCATCCAGTGTTGTTCCAGAGCAGGAATAGGCATGAACTCCCTAGGAGATGCCTTCACGGTCAGCTGGGGAACTGGTCTTACATACCTCTTTCCTCCCATTCCTCTCATTCAAATGACAGTGGTCAGGCTCCGTCAATTTCGCTCCAATGCCATTCTCGCCAGCCTTGGTTCACCCACCTGTGAATGATGTTGACAGACCTCTTTCACCTTCCTCGCCTCCCACACCTGCTAACTCAGGACAATGGCAGGATCTACCACCCAGACCTGGAGTCCCTCAATCTTACTGCATGGAGGATTCACCATCCATAGCAGCTGTTCTAGACAAAGCTAGAAAGCCTTCTACTCAGCTTCTCTACCACTATAAGTGGAAAACGTTGTCCACTTTTCCTGCTTCCAAGGGACTCTCGACAGCACCTGTCTCCTTCATCACTCTCCTTACATTCCTTCTCTGTCTTTTTCATCTTGGTCTGTCACATTCCACCTTGAAGGTATACATTTCGGCTAATGTAGTGCATCAACCACTGGATTCTGATGCTGCTCAGCTTTTCTCTCACCCTACTTAGAAGGAATTTCTCAAAGGCCTCCAAAACATTTGTCCTCCTCAGTGACCACCACTTCGGCAATGGTCTCTTCAGATGGTCCTCAGTGGTTATACTTGTCCTCCTTTCGAACCGCTAGCCATTACCAATTTCAAACTTCTTTCCCTTAAGAGTTTGTTTCTCATTGGCATCAAATCGGCCAGGCAAGCTGGCGAGCTAGCAGCTCTCAGAGCGGATGCACCATATCTCCCAATTTCACTCCCAACAATTTACCCTATACCTGGATGTCTCCTTTCTACTTAAAGTCATGTTGGAATTCCATTTCAGCCAACCTTTGATTCTCCCTTCTTTTTTTCCATCTCCAACATCCAATCTAGAGCGCTCTCAGAGCGGATGCACCATATCTCCCAGTTTCACTCCAACAATTTACCCTATACCTGGACGTCTCCTTTCTACCTAAAGTCATGTTGGAATTCCATCTCAGCCAACCTTTGGTTCTCCCTCCTTTTTTTTCCATCTCCAACATCCGATCTAGAGTACATGCTCCACACTCTACATGTCAGACACTCCCTCGCTTTTTATGTTGATAGGACTAAATCCTTTAGAAAATCTCCTTGTCTGTTCATCTGCCATCATGGTCCTTGCAAGGGTTCTCCAGCTTCCTCACAAACTTTATCAAGATGGATAGTTCAATGCAGTCACCTTGTCCTATGAACTGGTGGGGAAAACTGCCACCATTCTACTAGGGCTGTCTCTACTTCTACCGCCTTTCTTCAGGGTATAGATTTCTCCAACATCTGTCAAGCAGCTACCTGGTCTACTCCCTCAACATTTGTGACTCACTATCGGCTATACTTCAGAGCGAAGAATGAAGCTGGCTTCGGCAGATCTGTTCTTACCTCCTTTTTATTGTGACGTCCCACTTACCGGTAAGTGAACTTGCTAGTCACCCATTTGTGTGCATTTACGGAAACCACAAAGAAGAAAGAGAGGTTACTTACCTATAACCATGGTTCTTCGAGGGCTCCTCTGTGATTCCACACGTCCCACCCATCCTCCCCTCTGTCCGTCATTTTGTCATCTCTGTGCACCTTTCTGACAATGGCAGACTTTTGGGGAACTGAGAGGACCTCAGACGTGCGAAGCATGCAGGCCACAGGGGAACGTCCCACGAATCATATGTCTTTAAGCTCTAGAAATGCCTGAGGGGTCCTGCGCACATGCAAAATAACCCATTTGTATGGATTCACAGAGGATCGCTCGAAGAAGCATGGTTACACGTAAGTAACCTCTCTTTTGTATTTCTTCCTTGTATTTACCACAATAGTTCCAAAAACAATGTTTGTCAACATTCTTTTCCCCCCTACCCAATAAACAACCTTGCTCAACAGTTGATAGATCATGCTATTGTTTTGCCTTTTGATTCTGTGGGAACTGACAGTGGAATTCAGACATACCTGAAATACTAACTCCTCTATATTAACTGATTTGAGTGTGCTATAGATTTCTGTATGTCATAGTCCAGGTGAAAGTGTGCCCACACAACTTGCCAACAGTAATTTGATGAACTCTGTGAGAGACAGAAAATATCCTGAGCATTTCTGTTGGTGGAAATCTAGCCATTCAATGAGTGGCTGTAGAAAACTGTTCCTGATGCATGAGAGATTATTTCCACCATTTTAAACAAATCTCTTTCTAATCTCCTGAAACCACCTGCATCTCCAACCTGAACCCAACCTCACAAGACCTTACCTTCAAATTTAATTTTACATGATTGTTTGTATTTTATAGGAATCCAGTTCCTGGTTCCTTGTAAGTTGTATTCAGACCTGTGGGAATTTCTCACCTCAACTGTTATTGTGTGTGTCAGAATAGAAAATAGTTTCTGTTGCATAAACCATTTGGTTGTCAAAGTTTTATTATTCTATTAGTACATGTTTTGTAAGAGGAATTCCTTCTTTCATTGTATTGTTGTGATTTTAAGACTGTGCTGCAACAGGTTAAGACTGTGGCAGCAGGGAAACAGAGAAGTATTGTAAACCGAAAGAAATGTATTTTTAGATGGTGTCCTACTTCAAAAGAGCATTTTATAATAGTGATGTCTTTCTCTGCAGGTTGCCACTGCCAAGTCCAAAATTTATGGGCTACTGGAAAGTCAGCCTGTTGGGTAATGCACGACGGAAACTTCTGTGCCCAACAGAAACTCATCACATAGATGTAAAGGTCTGTAAGGTTTTCTAAAAGTATAGCATGCATTGTTTACCAGCTTTATAAGATCCTAATGCACTTTAGAAGTAATTGACAGTTGCATCCTCCCAAATCCTAGGGTCTCAAGGCAAGTAATAATATCATACAAACATTAGAAGAGCATCCTAAAGAGTGGAGGCCAAGTTAAAAATCAGAAATGCCTCTAAAATGATACCTATAGTAATATTTACTATTGTTGCTGTTGTTCACATCTATATTATGACTTTCCTCCGGTGAGCTCAAGATGGCATATGTGTCTTGCCTTTTCACTTTGTCTTCAGAACAATGCTGTGAGGTAGGTCAGGCTGAGAGGATGACTGGCCCAAGGTCATCAGTGAGTTTAATCTCTGAGTGGGAACTCATAGGTGGATCTCCAAATCTCTAGTCCAGTTCTTGTCACAAGAGATCAGCGATGGTATAGCTGGTATAAGCAGAGTTTAGAAATTATTTTCTGCACTACAGCTCCCAGTCAGGAGAACCAGTGGCTATGTTCACAGAAGGATTCTGGTAGTCCTAGCTCAAAAGAATCCCTAACTTGCTCAAGCTCTACACATGTTTTAAAAGTGATCTAACTAAGGGGAGATTAACCCAGATTTAGGCTTGGAAAAAAGGCAATGCCTGTTTCTGTTCCCTGGTGTTGAGAGTAGAGATGGGGGTATTTGTATATGAATAGTCCCTCACAGTTGGACGTAACAAGAGCCTGGCAGGGAGACTCGTCTTCCATCCTTCTGCCAGGAGTGGATAGTCAAACGTGAGCTCTGGAGCTATTGAAAGGGAGAGCAGAGCTGGCAGAAGCAGCAGACATGTGTGCTGGGGTATTTGTATTTGTAGACGAATACGAATACCCCCATCTCTAGTTGAGAGGTGTCTTTCTGCCCACAATCAGTTTGAATCCTACAGCTCTAAGTTGGTGACCGATTCAGACTTTGAACCCCACAGCCCTGGCTGGCAGGTCATGAGAATTCCTTTTCACCTTCTTGGCATCTCCAGGCCAGTAAGTGGCCTTTCATGTTCTACCTATGCCATCCTGCCTGATCTTATAGAACCATAGGTTGATACAATAATTGAGTTGGAAGGAGCCCATAAGCCTATCAATTCTATCCCCCCTACTCAATGCAGAAATCCAAGTCAAAGCAGATCTGACAGGTGGTTGTCCAACTTTCTTTTGAATGCCTCCAGCATTGAAGCACTCACCACCTCCTGACGTAATTGCTTCCCTTGCCATACTGCTCTAGCAGTTAAATTTTTCCTGATATTCAGCCTAAATTTGGCTTCTTGTAGCTTGAGCCCATTATTACAGGCCTTCAGTCTGGAATGGTTGAGAACAGATCCTCTGTCTCAAGTAGTTGGAAAGTGCTATTGTCTTTTTTTCAAGGCTAAACATGCCCCAGTTCTTTTAGTCTTTCCTCAGACCAATCTTGCATGTAACTGTATCATCACCAAAAGAGAAGTTAGTTGTCCTCAGTGATGCAATTGGTGAAAAAAAAACTGGCTAATCCAGAGCCTTGTGGTTTAGTGGTCAAACTGCTATGCTGCAGCCAAAACACCAGTTCTTTTAGTCTTTCCTCAGACCAATCTTGCATGTAACTATATCATCACCAAAAGACAAGTTAGTTGTCCTCAGTGATGCAATCGGTGAAAAAAAACCTCTTTCCTCAGACCAATCTTGCATGTAACTATATCATCACCAAAAGACAAGTTAGTTGTCCTCAGTGATGCAATCGGTGAAAAAAAACCTGGCTAATCCAGAGCCTTGTGGTTTAGTGGTCAAACTGCTATGCTGCAGCCAAAACAGTTCAATCCCAGGTAGCCGTCTCAAGGTTGACTCAGCCTTCTATCCTTCTGAGGTCGGTAAAATGAGGACCCAGCTTGCTGGGGGGTGGGGGAAACAATATGTAGCTTGCATAACTAACTTGTAAACCACTATGAGTACTTTAAGCACTATGAGGCAGTATATAAGCACCACACTTTGCACTTTAATCCAGAAGCTCAGAAATAAACAAGCAAGCAAACAAGACCCCGCTCCGCCAGCACAGAGCTGATTCTGAATGTCTACAAGGAAGGCAGATAGGGGGATATAATATCAAGTGTACTGTGAGGAAGGCATGGCCAGATGACAAAGCTTTCCTAGCATGACAACACAGCCTGTGTTCATATGCTTGGCCACTGTGTGTTCCCCTCTCCCTATGGGCCACCTGCAAATGCTGTCACCCCCACTAATTGTAAGCTCCTCCTAGGAACAGCACTGATGAAGCAAGTTATCTGCTGTTTTCATGTTTTTTTATTTATTCATTCATGCATGCATTTATTTTTGACTGGACTGGACTGGACTAGATTGGATTTTCTGGGCTTTGTACAAGGACCTACAAGATGAGTGGCCATAACAGGGGCATAAAAACTGCACCCAAATTGGTCTCCAAAGCATTTACCATACCTTGAAGACCAGAATCAAATCTAGTCTCGTAGCCAAATCAAATCCAATGCTTTAAGCTTTCCTTACCTGTGCATTCTATCCTTGCACATGGATTTGTATTCCAGGTGGTTGTAGGGCCCTGCAATACTTTCATTACTATCAGTAGCTATATATACCAAAGTCTAAAGGGGAGAGCCACTTTCTTTTATAGAACAACGTAACTCCACAATATTTGACCCAGTTTTTCATGGTTGTTGTGAGGGTTTGCAGACATAAACATTGCTTTGCTAATAATCTTCCTCTTAATGGTTTTTCTGAGAACATCATTGAGGGATTTTGCTATTTGATGTCTCTTTTAGGGCCCAATATACTTAAACGTGCAGGAATTTTTGCTGGACAGGCATGAAGCCAGATCTCTGAGTTTTACAGAAGAAGTAGCCTGTTGGTCACTGCCTTTGAATGAAGTGAATTTAGTGTGTGACATTGCAGTAGCACAAGGTAGAGTACTGCTTTTTATTTTCCAGTAAATTAGTGGAAACAAGAAACTACTTGAATTTTCAAATACATGTTTAAAACAGCATTTAATATAATAGTTTAATATAAATTATTTTGCTTGTAATTCATCCAATGGCTCTGAAAAGCATCTTCTACATTTTTTGCTGCAGGTGTGTTTCATGTGTGTTTCTTTGTTTTAAGCAAAAGGTTTCTAAATGGCAATGTTATGCTTCAGTGGAGAGGAAAATAAGATGTACAGCTACATCCTTCTTTTTTACATTGCAACCTGTGTTTGGGCAAACATTCTGTAGAGTCACGAACAGTATTTATTCCTGCTATCTTGTATTCTCTAATTAGTCATTTTCCCTAGGTACCCAAATATGCATGAAGAAATTACAAATACCTATTATGCACATGGAAGATGACAAGTGTTAGCAAAGCATATGCTATAGATTGACTACTAAGAGTAGAATAATTGTTTGGTGGATCTGGACAATACAATGTACGTTATCTGCTTTAGTCTTTTGTAACACAATGTCCACTTCTAAATTGATCTAGTTTAGCCAAGGCCATGAGTAAGTGTACTTTGATGTGAAGAAACAAAATAATTCTAAGATAAACCATGTATGGCTTCTGCTAACTGTGAAGCAAAACAGAGAGGTGTATTGGACAAGAAGTAGCTATGTCTCAGCACATTGGCAAAATCAAGGGTGGGGGAAGAAAAAGAATTGACAAACAGGACAAAATATTTTAGTACTTAAAAGACTACAAATCTGTTTCATTATGCGCTTTTGTGGATCAATATCCATTTCTTCAGACACAAGGAGTACAGTAGTGCCTTGACTTATGAACTTAATCCGCTCTGGAATGATGGTTGTAACTTGAAGCACCATTTCCCATAGGAGTGCATTGAAATGTGATTAATTTCAGTCATTCACGATACATCAGGAAACATGGCTCAGTATATTAATACAGTGGTGCCTTGAGTTGCAAACTTAATTTGTTCCCGGATGATGGTTGTAACTCAAGTTGGTTGTAACTCAAAACACCATTTCCCATAGGAATACATTGAAAAGTGATTAATCCCGGCTGTTTTTAAAGGTTAAAAAAAGGGCAGGAAAGGAGGGAGGGAGGGAATAATGAGGAAAAGAGGAAAGAAAGAAGGTCATCACTGGGGCACACAGACCCCTCAGACAAAGGTTTGTGCTTTTAAACATAAAAACAGAGAGTAGGGGGGGAGAGACTTTGGAGTCTAAAACACATTTTAAACCCACACATGTTAAACCAACACCTTTTACAACAAACACCTTTTAAAACCAAACACATTTTAAAACCAAACACATTTAAACCCACGCATTTTATGCCAACACCTTTTAAAACGAAAGAGAGATCACTTATCTTTTGGTGTTTTTTGGAGGACATCACTGTGACATCTCCGCCAGGGGTCTCCTTAGGTACAGTAGAGGTGACTTCTGGCTGGAGGACAGGCAGGTGGGTGGTGAGATGGTCATCACTGGGAGGTAGAGGTCCCCTCCTTTGGGTCATCTTCTCCAGGGGTTTCCTGTCACTGGATTTTGGCTACAAGCTCCATTCTGGTGAAAAATCTGTCCAGTTTCACCTGCTTCATCCTGCGCTGCAGAACCTTTCTGAAATGGCTGACCACGTTGTCATTCATCATGTCCAAAACTCTTCGTATCACAGTCCTGTTTGGGTGGTGCCTCTCAAAGAAGTCCTGGCACCTGTTCCATTTCTTGCAGATGGATCTTATCTCCTCGCTGCTAACCTGCACTCCCTCTTCCTCTTCCTCAGTGGAAAGCTCCTCCACAAGAGCCTTCTGCTGCTTGATTTGCAGTTCTACAAGTTCTTCTGTGGTCAACTCCTCTTCATGGTCTCCAATCAGCTCCTCTACATCCTCCTCATTGACATCCAGACCCATGCCTTCACCCATGGAGACAATGTCCCTCACCACCTGTGCATCAGTCACCTCAGTGTCATTGTCTGTGGCACATTCTAGCCACAGTTTCCTCCAGGCTGAGTTCAAGGTCCGAGTTGTGACATCTTGCCAGGCCTTGTCAATGGGTCTGATGTTGTGGAGGGCATTGAAATGTGACTTCCAGAACTCTTTCAGGGTCAAGGATGTCTCCTTGGTGATATTGAAACAGCTGGTGAAAAGTGCCTTTGTGTAGAGCTTCTTGAAGTTGCTGATCACTTGCTGCAGAAGAGGTGTTGTGTGTGTGTGAGGGGGGGAACTTGACCTTGATGAAGTCATACTCGTCATCAAGAGAATCCACCAAGAATGGGGAGGCATGCTGGGGTGTTGTCCATTAGCAGAAGGCACCTTTCAGGAAGCTGGTTGTCAGAAAGATATTTTTTGACAGTGGGTGAAAACACTTCATAGAGCCATTCCATAAACAGCTATCCTGTCATCCAAGCTCTTGTGTTGACCCTCCACATGACAGGCAGTGTGGCCTTGTTTACTTTCTCTTGGTGGAATGGGCAAGGAGTCTGGGAGTGGTACACTAGCAGAGGTTTGATCTTCAGATCGCCAGTGGCGTTGGCCACTGGCCACAGTGGCGTTGGCCACAAAAGGGTCAATCTTTCCTTCATGGGTTTGTGGCCCGACATTTTCTGTTTCTCCTGAGTGATGAAGGTTCTGCTGGGGATCTTCTTCCAGAAGAGCCCTGTCTCTTCACAGTTGAAGACTTGCTGGGGGAGGTAGTCTTCTTCTTTGATGAATTTGACAAAGTCCAACTTGAAGGCTTCTGCAGCTGCATGGTCAGAACTTGCAGCCTCCCCATATCTTATCACGCTGTGGATGCCACTTCTCTTTTGGAACTTTTGAAACCATCCCCTGCTGGCTTGGAATTCTTCTTGCACTGCACTTCCGGAGGGGTTTCTTTTCATCAAATCACTGTGCAGCTTCTTGACTTTCTCACAAATCATGGCTTCACTGATGCTTTCCCCTTTCAGCAGTTTCTCATTCATACACACCAGTAAAAGTTTTTCCACCTCTTCAATCAGGGGTGTCCTGTTCTTTATTATGATTGTGACTCCTTTTGCCACATCAATTTCTTTCAAGGTATCTTTCTTCTTCAATATGGTGGAGGTGGTTGACTTTGGCATCTTGTATTCAAAGGCACTGTACTGTACCGTAAATGAGTACTCCTCCGCACACCATGCACCACACAAACCCTAGGAGCCACAGAATATTAAAAAAAAATACACAGAACATCTTTAAAAACAAGCCCCTTTTAAACAAAACCAAGCACCTTTGAGTCTACAGTACACTCCATTTTAAAGCCTGGCTGCATCAATAAGCACCACACCCCCTCACAGAATATTTTCTGATTTGAAAAAACCCCACATTTTAAACCCACACATTTTAAAAGAACCGAGAGGTCACAGTACACAAACCCTAGGAGCCACTGAATAAAAAAAACAACATTCTAGCAGGGACTATAAATGCTACAACTACACACTGCAAGCCCCATCAGAGCACAGAAACATAACCCCCCCCAGCCTACACCCACACTGCAAAAACCCTGTACATAGCGGACTCACCCAGAACAGGCAGTCTCTTTGTTTTAAAAAAGAAAGTCAAAAAGCAAAAATGCAAAGAGCAAAAATTTAAAAAAACAAAAATGCAAAATATATATATATACAGTACAGTACTGTACCAGGCAGTCCGAAACCACACTCTCTAACCGCCGGGGTGAAAGAGCTACACCTACTGAACCTGCTCTGGCTCCAGAGCCTGTTCCTCCTAAACGAGCTAAACAGTCTAAACCTACAGACATCCCACCACAACCACAACTCTCTGAATCAATTTTGGTCGGATCTACTTCAGATGATGACAGACTTCCATCCCATCAACTCTGTTCTCAGTCTCCAGAATGGGATGATAAAGTTGACCAACTAACGTCCTCTCTTCCCAGTCCACAACCTTCCATTCCTTCCAGCAATCCTTCGGTTATTCCATCACCCGAGGATTCCCATCCCGAATGGCTGGACACCATTCCATATTTGATGCCTTCGGATCACCCGCTGATCCCTAACCAGGACCATCAACATCAACAATCTTGACAGCTCGCTTCATTGTGTGTAGTTCAAACCGATGCTCAGCACACACATTGGGTTACCATTTGCCCCGACCAGTGCTTTGCTCGACAAATTGCACCAACTAGTCGACAAGGTGTTTTACCCAGTTCGATAATACCATCTAATAGTCGGCCTACCTCTCAACAATCATTGGTGTCAAAGCAGCCACATCATTGAGAGGTGATTATACCTCAACGTGCTCCCCACTTGGTATCAAAAAAAACCTTGGACGGTCAAGCAGATTTCAGCCACACATGAGGCTTTTCACACACACACACAGTACAGTACTGTACCAGGCAGTACCAAGCAGTCCGAACCCACACTCTCTAACCGCCGGGGCGAAAGAGCTACAGAGAAGTAGCCTCTTTGCCAACCAATGGTTTTAACTGAAAGCACTTCACATTTCTCGCTTTCCCCAACTTCCCTGCCTTTTTTTTCTGGTTGTAACTCGAAGCTCCGGTCGCAAGTTGAAGCAAAATTTTGCAGCCGGAGCGGGTCGTAACTTGAAATGGTCGTAAGTCAGGATGTTTGTAATTCGAGGTACCACTATACTCATGTATCTGTGAAGTTCTTCTTCGTGGCCTCTGTGAATCACACCCTGGGTGATTCACACCTGTGCAGAGCCTCATTGGAAGAATCTAGAGCTTCTGTGGTAGCAATGAACACATTAGAATATACCCCTCCCCACCCATATAAGTACCTTGGTACCAAGCGTCCCATTTCAGTTTCTTTCAACCGCCGTGTTGAGAGCCTCATATTTCTGTTTCTGTAAGTAAAACAGAAAGAGAGCTTATTGTTTCTGTAAGTAAAACAGAAAGAGAGCAGTTACTGAATCATTGAAACAGCGTCCATCAGCTACACCAGCTCGTTCTGATTCTCCATCTGCATCGTCTAAGACGTTGAAGACACACAAGTCAAAACCCTCCATACGGAACTCATCGACTTCAAAAACAACTTCTAAACATCTGACACCTACTGAACCTGCTCTGGCTCCAGAGCCTGTTCCTCCTAAACGAGCTAAACAGTCTAAACCTACAGACATCCCACCACAACCACAACTCTCTGAATCAATTTTGGTCAGATCTACCTCAGATGATGACAGACTTCCATCCCATCAACTCTGTTCTCAGTCTCCAGAATGGGATGATAAAGCTGACCAACTAACGTCCTCTCTTCCCAGTCCACAACCTTCCATTCCTTCCAGCAATCCTTCGGTTATTCCATCACCTGAGGATTCCCATCCCGAATGGCTGGACACTGTTCCATATTCAATGCCCTCGGATCACCCACTGATCCCTAACCAGGATCGTCGACATCAACAATCTCGACAGCTCGCTTCATTGTGTGTGGTTTAAACCGATGTTCAGCACACACATTGGGTTACCATTTGCCCCGACCAGTGCTCTGCTCGACAAACTGCACCAACTAGTCGACCAGGTGTTTTACCCAGTTCGATAATACCATCTAATAGTCGGCCTACCTCTCAACAATCATCGGTGTCAAAGCAGCCACATCACTGAGAGGTGATTATACCTCAATGTGCTCCCCACTTGGTATCGAGAAAACCTTGGACGGTCAAGCAGATTTCAGCCACACATGAGGCTTTTGCAGCCCCAGCCTCCCGATACTTTCCTACTACAATAGATGTAGTATCACTCTTTGTGCTCGGCATCACCAGCATCAATTTATTCTACTGCTATGCCATCACGTCAGCAGCCTCTGTTTTGACATCACAGAGACACAGGCTCTGATATCGACGATCCTCAATATTCATCCTGGTTCATGGACACTCGCTCCATTCCATCACATCAACACAGTTCCCATCCTCTGGTAAATCCAAGTCATTGACCCCGGCACCGTTACAACACCAAGCTCAACACTGAGGTCCATCCCTACCAATTGAGGTCAGTCGACATTCAACCACCATCTTTCAAAGTCGACGATCCTCGACATCGACAGATGTCCATGGACATGCCACCTCCATCTTTTCTGACTCATAACCAGCAATACTACGACACTCAGCCTCTTAGCACTGAAGTCAATTGACAGTCCGTCAACTCCAGACACGACCTTGATGGCTCTGACCATGAATCTCAGCTGCAGACTTCATTGGTGTAACTTACCTCTCCAGAGTCAGACATTGTTAATACCGACCCGCCGTCACTGGCAGAGGATTTCCAGACCTATTGCCCAACTTTTGATTCGCATGGCTAAATCCCTTGATGTGCAAGTCCACCGACCATCGACAAAACCACCTGATCATCTGTATGATCCAATTTCTAAAAATACAACCACTCAGGTGCACATATCGATGTCTCAGGTGTACATATCAATGTTACGGTCTCTCCTTAGTACTGTGCAGAGATCCTGGACAAAACCAGCTTCCTCCCATACCATGTCTAAGCGGATCGATAGAATCCATGACCCAGGAGCCATTTTCCTCCAAAAACAACCAGCTCCAAATTCTATATTTGTCAAAGCCTCTCAATCTAGATTTTGACATCGACAGTCTTTCATACCACCAAATAAAGACAGCCAACGAATAAACTCCATGGGTAAATGGCTTTACTCTTTCGCAGCGTTCTCCACATGAGTCGCTAATTATCAAGGAGCCATGGGAGCTTACCAACGCTTCCCCTGGGACAACATGTCCACCTCTGTTGAATCCCTGCCAGAGGATAAAAAGAGACAAACTCAGACCTTCCAACAAGAAGGTCTCTCCGTTGCTAAACAACAGATGCTTTCTGCTCGCCACACCGTAGATGCTACAGCCATGTCCATGGCCACTTTAGTAGCCCTACACTATTTTTCCTGGCTCAGAACGGCCGGCTTAGTTGAAGATGCTTGGGCACATTTTGAAGACTTACCCATCGATGGAGCAGGTCTTTTTCATGCTGAAACTGAGAACGTACAAAAGAAATGTTCAGCAGCCAGACGTTGGGGATTTTACCCTTCCTACCACCAACGTCCTCAGCAAAATCAGTGGAAACAACCCTATAACTTGTACCAGAGGTTTCAACAAGAATGTTGTATTTACTGAATTCAAAGTTTTATGCCTTAAAATGTTGGGTTTAATATTTTTATTTATTTCATTGTTTTGATTTTATATTTTATAGGGGTTTTACTGTGTTTGCTATTTTATTGTAATTGACTTGCATCCCTGTAGGGGAAAAGATACCAAATAAATTAAACAAATTAATAAACTCCATTTATATTTCTGCCTGTGACACGTAACAAACATATTAAATATATATTTTCATCTTTCAAAGACAAGTATGTTTGTTAGTAACAATAATTTATTAATAGGAATGCTTGTCCCCACCCCTCAAATCTACCCTATAGTTCCAACACATTTGGAATATTCATTTGTGAGCCTAATACAGTATGTCAGATTGAACATTTAAGCCTAAATTTCAGGCTGTGCTAGCATCTGGATTTCATTATCTTTCCCTTCTTCCTTGCAGCCTAGCCCTTAATGGTGCTGCAAACCTGTTGTGGAAGTTTTCCAGCCCTTTGGTGCAAGTTTTTGGAGTCCTTTGGAGAGTCATGAATGGAATAATTATCTATGAGAATCTGCAGGTGATCATAGAAATTCATTGAACAGTATCTAACTTTTGTCTTTTCTTTGTTCTTTTTTTAAAGAGAATGAAACTGAAAACTCTCTTTATGTTGCTACATGCAATCCTGTGTCTTTATATTTTATGAATACATCTGGCAAAAATGGATTCTTTGTAGACTTGTATGATATCTTCCCAAGAACAGTTGGTGGCAGATGGCAGCCTTTTGTGACACTGGCACCTCTCGGTAATCCATTAAATGGTCAAGTTATTCTACATGAAGAGCAGGTAAAAAAGCCTCCTATTTTACATTAGCAACTTATTTATGAGGAATCAGAATTCCTTGTGTTTTTCTCAACTGCTTTACTTCTTTTAAAGCATACAAATTTATGAATTTCTTGAATAGCTAACTATGAAGGACATGAAGATACTAGATGGGGAGAACCTCTCAAAGTGATTATAAAGAAACATCTATGACATATATACAATACTAGAAAGCATGATTTGGGTAGTTTTTGTAAGGGATTTCCATGAGTAGTGAAAGATTGTATGAGCCTTTCATATAAAACTGATGTGGATTTAGCTTGCATTCATTTTCCACATGCATGTTTCTGAAAGTGGTTATTCTATGACATATGCATTAAGAGCATGCTTTCAATATTGATCTTTATTTTCTTGTGCACATTCTAATTTATTGTTCTTCGTGGTCTCTGTGAATGCACTCAAATGGGTTACTTTGCGCCTGCGCAGGACCTCTCAGAAGTTTCTAGAGCTTAAAGATGTGATTAGTGGGATGTTCCCCCGTGGAATGAATGCTCCGATGTGATTAGTGGGATGTTCCTCCGTGGAGTGCATGCTCCACCCGTCTGAAGTCCCCTCAGTTCCTTTTAGCCGCCACTTAAGCCAGACCTTCTTGACGCTACAGCAACTACTTTTCAAAATACGATCGCCATTGTTCCTATTTGCCTTTATTGGCTCCCGCCCCTCAGTTCCTTTTAGCCGCCACTTAGGCCAGACCTTCTCGACGCTACTTTTCAAAATACAATCGCCATTGTTCCTATTTGCCTTTATAGGCTCCCATAGTACTCCTACTGACTTTTCCCCATTTTCTTTCCGTTATATTCAGTTTTTCTTAATTTTCCTTACTTTTGTTTTCCCACACACACCCTTTTTATGGCCCCTCCAGATCTGTTTAAGCGGTGTGTGTCGTGGTCAAATAAGATTCCCCTTTCTGATGGTCACGACCACTGCCTTTTTTGCTTGCGGAAGCAATATCAGACTCGGTCTTGCCCAGAGTGTAAGAGATTTACGAAGCCTCATCTGCAATGTCTTCATTCTTTTCTCTGGGAAAAGTCTCTTAAACCATCATCCTCCTTCATGGAGCCCACCTCAGAACCTGTACCTGGGTAAGAAGTATCTGAATCCATGTCGAACCCGACCACGCCATCTCCAAAACCAAAAAGATCTTCAAAATCCTCTTCGAAATTGAAGTCTACGTTGGTATCGAAACCATCCTCTGCTCGGCCTTATGACCATTCCTCAAAACAGAAAAAAGAGCCTGCTAAATCAAAGGCTAAAAAATCATCTAAGCCTTCTCAACCTCTTCAGACTCCTTTGGATCTCTCATCTCCAATCTTGGAGAACTCCTTGAGAGAGATTCCCCACTCTTTATCGGAAGGGGAGGACCTGCTCCCAGTACCTCCTGGCCAGGCTCCTGTTTCTATAACGTGCCTTTCACCCAGTCTTAGCCCCTTGGTGGCTGATGTTCCTTCCAGCATGGCCTTGGCCCATTCAAGCCCTATAGCTCCAGGGCAGCAACAGTAATCCAACTGTCACACTCGGAGTCTTCTTGCCATCAATTGCCTCCGCACAAACGATTGGCGAAAAGGCATCACCTCTCACCCATCTATCAAGAGCCTCCACATCAAGAGATTTATATGTCCATAGATCATCCCAACATCGTCTACCGCCACAATATCGAGACCCATACTATGATAGTTATGGTCGATATCGACACTGGGAGGATGACATTGACCCGTATATGGGAGAAAATTATTATGACATGCTTTAGACTGATAAGGGTAATAAATAAATAGCAAATTAGTGCTTCTGTTTTTTATGGCAGCCTTATCAAATCATCAGAAATACCAACTTTTGCCTATATGTTTATTCTGTCTATGTTTTTATTCTGCTCCATGAAAATAAATCTGTTCTCAAGGTTTCATTGGGAATTTGAGACTTTGAAGCTAACAGTAGCAGAGAATCACTTCGCAGGTCAAAAATGCTATATGGATAAATATTACTGTCAGCATTCAGATAGTGAAACCAATTTAAATATTTCTTTTTAGATGTCTACCTTTAACAGAGTGTCTATGAGGAAAGGAAAAGGAAGACATGCACTTGTTGTTAAGCATTTACCAGTCTTGTTTGTGTTCAGTTTGCTCTTATAATACAAGCCAGGGAGCTATAGCAGAAAGGAAAGATGAATAGAATAGAAAATTAAATTTTGTGTCCTGTCTTCTTGCAAAGAAAGATATAGCTATTCACATGGACAAGTTTTAAAAGTATGTTTAATTCTTGGAAAATGGGACATTAAAAGGGTGTGGTTTTAGAAGAAATCGTTATTGCAGACAAGGCTAAGTGAAAAGAAAGGCATTTCTGTTTAAATAGTATGTGCTTTCTTCCTCTCTTGCATTTTAAAACCCCATTCCCCAGAACTGTCCAGAAGGATAGTGATATCATCTTCTCCTTCCCTGAATGGCAGTTCCAGTTTTGTTTGAACTAAGTTTTTCCAAGGAATTAAAACCCTGGCTGAGACACAAACTGCAGCAAGGAAAGGGAAGCTTTGCAATAGCTAAAAATAAAAGAAAGGCACCTCAAAATAATGGTCATTACATCTGCTGACTATTTGGATTTAGGACACTGGGGACATGAGGTCACCCAAAGGTTTCTTTTCTCCCAGTGAAAAATAAACAAAACAGAAACTGCATACTAGCAATAGCATATCTTCCCAGCCCACTTGAGGAATTGCCAAAGCTGTAACTGGAAGTATTCACCAGTGATGCAAAATTCTATTTTTATCTGCAAATCAGTATGTCACCAGTCATTTGGTACAGATGGGAGCCATTAACATCGAAAAAGGTGGAGAAGAAAGTTTTGTTATACTGCCAGCTGACCTTGTAAACTTAGCACTAAGTGAAAGAGCACAACTGCCCTTTGTATGTTTACAATGATGGGAAAATCTTAACACTTTCGTTACTTCTGTAACAATAATACATGAGGAAAAAATGCCAGAAGAAGACCAGTTTTTCCTGTACTAAACATTTTATTCATTTTCTTATTGAAGAATTTTTATAGAGTGTCTGGTATTTGAGCATTATTGAGTATTTCTTGGGATTGAATTGGGCTGTGTCTAAACTATAACAGTAGTATTTGGTAGCATTTTATGGTGTTTAAGTGAAATGAAACTTTTTTGACCCTCATGCACCAGGATAAACAAACAGCTTTTGTGTGTTTCAGGAAGTTTTCTAAGCCATATAAGAATTCCAGTGTATTGCACATTATAAAACTGCAGCATGCTTTGTGCAGAATTAAGTATGTTCCATCTAGACACCCAGAACCAAAAAAAACACAATAAAAATGAGATAAAACAAAAGAAAGCATGCATTTCTTGTATTCTGGAATACCTCCCAGCTCTAGTGAATTCTAACACACCTTATCAGTTTCTCTTAAATGGGAAGCAGAGCGCATCACTTCGGTGTCAACGCTTTATGGTTCACCAAAAAAGTCACAAGTTATCTCCCCCCCTAAGGCTTTACAATGGCTTTCACCAAAAAAAGGCCTCTGGTGTAAAACAATTGTTAGGACATATTTTATTCCAGGTATTTTTGTTTGTTTATATGCAAGAAAACAAAACATGGCAATCATCTGAACTATAGAGACACTGTTTATAACTCTTCTCTGTATATTCTAAAAAAAAAAGTGTAACTGCACAGTTGAAATGTTCCCATTGTATTGCATGAGAGTTAAAATTTTACCACTCATTCATGGTAACTGTGATGGAGTCTAATGGGAGGTGTAGATACTTTGGTGGAAATTCTAAGGCTGCTGACAGCAGGTTTGGGTGATTTAAAAAATTCCAATTCCTCCCCCCCACCCCGCATTAGGGGCCAGGGGACTGGGGGAATCTTTCATTTCTGAAAACCACCATCACCAGTAAAATCATCCCAGTGGCAGCAATTTTCAGAAATTTGATTCCCCCTGTCCCACAGCTCTCCATGACTTTCCCAGGATGAAAGGAATCCCATTGGAGTCTCATGACCTTCGAAGGAGGAATCAGAATTTTTTAAATTATGAAAAACTGCCACAGCTGAGGATGTGAGCTTCTAAATCTTTTCAATCAAGAGATGAACCCCAAATTCTAGGTAAATTTTTTGCTGAGGAGACTTTTTTGGGGAAAAAACACAGTATTTTCCAATAAAATTAAATTCCCAATTTCTAAACTGTATTCTATTCCTCCTTCCCAAGGGAAAAAGGTTAATCATGTTGTGCAACGTCATACTCAGTGCAAGAGGATATAAAGAAATGTATGTTCTTTCTACAGAGTAATGTTGTTTTATTGCTGGACACAAACAATGGTGCCTTGCGCCGGCTTCTGCTGTCACCAGAGGTGCAGGAGGCTCCTAAAAAGACATCCTGGTGGGGCAACAAAGAGGACATGGTGAGTCACAGTCACTATCCCAGCTATATGGTATTCAAAATTAGACATGTTGGTATAGCAGACTAGACATCGCTAGCCATTATGCATGGCAGAACACTTAAAGTAGGTTCTTCCTGTTAGGTGTTTCTGCCATAATACATTTATATCCATTAGTTAGTTGGTCGTATCATTAAGCTTTTAGTAATTATATTTTTATTGTATTTTATCAATTTTTTGTAAGCCGCCCCGAGTAGACCTTGTCTAAAGGGGCGGGGTATAAACCCAAATAAAGTAAAGTAAAAAAGTAAAGTATTAGGTTTTAAAGGTACAAAATCTGGGTTGTTGTTGTGGAGACTAGTTTTCCAATCTTTTTTAGAATTTATTATATTCATGGTTACATTTTTGCCATTTTGAGTCTCAAGGCAATAAATTTAAATATCCACGCTCCTAAATATCATGTCTGCAGTAGAGTACATTTCCCTCTTTAGAAAATAGTGCTGCATTTACCTGTAATCTCTGTATTTTGGTAAACCATTATACCCCACCCTTCTAAGTGGAACAGAACGGATCCCTTAAACAGCCTCAGACCACCAGATAACTCATGGGTCCTTTTATGATGTGTGTGTCTATGTGTATTTCTGTCCTCCCCGTGAACAGCCCTCTCACATCTTTTCCAAATTATACTGGCTTGTCAAGCATAAATTCCTAGCCACTCAGTGTTCACACCATGCCTGGCTTTTTGGCCTCATCTCTAACAGCAGCAGTACCACCACCAGTGGGAATGAGGAGCCCATAGATAGTGCTACCATGGGTACCCCTCTGATTCCCAGAATGATTCTGGGAGTTATAGTGTTGTGTTCCCTAAACGTCCCTGACCATCTGCACACTGCTGTGTGTGTGGGGTGGAGGATGAGAACCGGCATACATCTTCCTCCTCTTGCTTTGTATATAGATGAATCACCACAGTAGTGCTTCCAAATGCCTTTCCTGAACTGTTGTTAAAAAAAACCACTCTTAATTAAACATGCACCTTCAAATACTTGCATTGAATTTTGGAAGAACCTATAAGGAAATAGGGTTTACATGTTAAAAGACCCTCTTTTAATGCCTAGAAGCATCTCCAGTTTAAATGATCCCCGTTGAAAGGACTGAGAGCAACCTCTGGCTGAAGTCTTAGAGAGTCACTGCCATGATCTTAGATGAACCACAGGGATTCATTCATTATTGGGTGGCTTCATTTGAGAAATAATTTTTTCTCCAGTGTTATTCATAGTTTGTCACAGTTATCAAGCACAGGCAGTCTTTTCTAACTTGTATAAACTGAGCACAATCTGCTAGATAATATTGTTATGCACTGTGGTGATTCATCTATATGCAAAGCAAGAGGAGGGAGTAGACATCAGTTCTCCCCCTCCCCCATACACACACAGCACTGTGCAGATGGTCAGGGAACTTTAGGGAATACAACATATTATTAGCGTAATGAGGATAGTAGTAAAATGGATTGATGCTTTTGAAACTGCAGCATTATTCCCCCTCCCCCGAAATGTTCTAATAGTTTGAAATGAATATGGTTATGTGTATTCTCGAAGGCTTTCACGGCCGGGATCTGAGGGTTTGTGGGTTTTTCAGGCTTTTTGGCCATGTTCTGAAGGTTGTTCTTCCTAACGTTGTGCCAGTCTCTGTGGCTGGCATTTTCAGAGGACAGGAGTAAGAACTCTGTCTGTGCTCAGGTGCAGTTTGTTTGGATCATTGAGTATTTATAGCTGTGGGATCAGTTTTTGTCATTTTCAGGAGATGGGTGATTGTGGTGATCAGCATGTTTTTTGTTTTGGGTGTATTGTTGTGACAAGTGGGAGAGATTATCTGTCACTGTGATTGATGGCTGGTCTTTTGTGTGCAGTGATCACCGGTCCTTGTAGCTGGGTAGAGTTTGTTGACCTTTTGCAGGCTGTATTTTTCAGTCCTGGGAGCCAGGCTTTGTTGAGTTTTAAACTTTCTTGTTTTTTGTTAACGTTCTGCTGGTGTTTGTGGATTTCAGTGGCTTCCCTGTTCAGCCAACAAAAAACACGCTGATCACCACAATCACCCATCTCCTAAAAAGGACAAAAGCTGATCCCACAGCTATAAATACTTAACTATCCAAACAAACTGCACCAGAGCACAGAGTTCCGACTCCTGTCCTCTGAAGATGCCGGCCACAGAGCCTGGCGCAATGTTAGGAAGAACAACCTTCAGAACATGGCCCAAGAGCCTGAGAAACCCACAACAACAATATGATTCTAATTTGTGTTTCTTTGTTTCTTTAGAAGAGCCACAAGATGTGTAAAGAGTTTTCACACAAAAATTGGCTAGTGTTTTACAAAGAGGAAGGGTAAGAATTAACGATTTTCCCCTTCCTGCTTCCCCTCCCCCCAAATATGGCAGAAAACGGCCTGTTCCTCCACTTATCTCCATCTAAATTGTCACCACTTTATTTTGCAGGAGCCAGCTTACTGTTCTAGATGTCTTGGAAGGCCACGCTCACATCATCTCCTTACCTATCAACCTCAAATCTGTCTTTCTAGTGGCTGAGGACCAATGGCTCCTGGTGGACAACAAAACAAA